CCAATGGTGGTCCGGTGACGTTCCAATGGTGGTTCGGTGGGTGATCAATGACGACTTGTTGTGGCAATCGTCTGGTCAGTGAAGTGAAAGATTAAGTGGAAGAGGGTATAAGGTGTTAGATAAGGGGTGAGTAGGTATGGTAGGGGTGAGTAGGTATGGTAGGGGTGAGGTGATTTTTTTTTGTGTTTTCTTTTTATTTAGAAAAATGGTAAAGTGATTAAAAAAATGGAAAAAGAGAAATATCAAGGGCAAATCCGTCATTATAAAAAGTTTTGAAAACTTTTGGACAAAAATCGCAACAAAATCAAAGTTTTGGATCGATGGTGCTAGTCCAAAACTTTTTGGACCAAATTGACAATTTTCGACAAACCACAGGGACCATTAGTAAAAATATGTTAGAAATTGGATATAGTAAAAGAATGTGTCCCAACCACTTTAAATTCGCTATACTCTTTATACTTTAACATATAATTCAAAATGTTTATCTTATTGAATTGTCATTTTTGAAATTAAAATGGAAATTGCAATAAGAATCACAAAAAGTGTTAGGATCGAGACACTTAACACACGACTCTAAACACACACACAGCTCACGAAAAACAAGAACACAAGGATGAACACGAGGGATTTAACGTGGTTCGGTCCTTCTCTGACCTACGTCCACCGGTAACTAGGAATTTATATTTCTTGGTGCTAATCTGCACTCTTTCTGTGTTACTCTAGATACAAGTTTTACAAATACAGATGAATCTCTTATATAGAGATGGAAATCAGAAGTAGTCAAAAAACACAACCGGGTCTTCAGCCAACCTTTGAAAAAACTTCACATTCAACAATTGTGGCTTCACATTCAACAATTGTGGCTTCACATTCAACTATCTCCCACTTGAAGCCACGGAACAATCTTCACCTGTGCTTCAACTGTGCATCTGTATTTTAAAAAATTTGATCTTAACTCCTTCCTAGTTACCCAGCCTTCTCTTCAATTTACCTGTTCTCTGTCTCCACCGGCTCCCACTGAAATGAACTGCCCGATCCTGGAACATCCTGAGAACAAACGACACTCTCCATGTGAAGCAGATAATCTGGAGAGACTTTTACAGATGGAATACTGGTTCTCTTAACCCACTGTGTTCTGGGTATTCTAGCTGAAACAAAGCCCATGCTCCCACTGCTATGAATGCCCTTGACTGGTTTTTCTGAACCGTTCCAAACACGTTCAACCTGAATCTGACCTATGACTCTGGGTTTGCCATCTGCAAAGCAAACCTTCTTCTGTCCACGAGACTCTATGAACCGGATTTTGTTTTTCTTCTGAACTGAGACGGTTACTCCCTCAGACGGTAAACTGACCATATATAATGAACCCCTCTTATGTCCACGAGCTATCACAAGATTTCCTTTGACAACCTTCCACTGCCCATTCCTGAACTTAACCTCGTGTCCCTGTTCATCCAACTGCCCAACAGAAATCAACTGTTTCTCCAGACTTGGAATTACCCGGACATCCTTCAAAGTCCATGGACCGACTGGAGTCTTCAGATCTAAGTCACCTATGCTCGTCACATCAAGAACCTCATCGTTCGCCAGTCTTACCTTACCAAAATCCCCTTCTTTCAGATTTCGCAGTGCTTCACGGATGTGGGTAGCGTGAAATGAAGCACCCGAATCCATAACCCAGAAATCCACATTGCTCTCCACACTACAGATCAAAACATCATCATCTGAATGGTCTACTGCAACGTTAACTTCTTTCTTGTCTTTTGGACATTGATTCCTGAAATGTCCAACCTTTTTACAGTTCCAACAAGTCACATCATTTCGAGTCCTCGACTGACTCCTTCTCCTGTTCCCGCTCCCACTACCTCTGTTATTTCTTCTACCTCTGACTGCATTCAATTGTTCACTTGATGATTCCCTGGAATTTCTTCGTCTGACGTCTTCGCCTAGAATTAAATCCCGAATTCCCTCAAAAGTGAGCTCTTTCGATCCTGCGGAACTAGTAACGGCTGTAACTGTTCCGGACCAACTGTCAGGTAATGATGATAACAGTAGTAAAGCTTGAACTTCGTTCTCAAATTTTATTCCCACTGACCCAAGTCTGGATAAAATCGAGTTCAAATTATTGATGTATACTGTAACTGAACTTCCTTCCCTCATCCTCGTGTTGACTAGTTCCCGAATCAGGAAGACTTTATTTGCTGCTGACGGCTTCTCGTACATATTAGACAATGCCTCCATGATTCCCTTTGCCGAGGTCTCCTTCAAAATATTGAAGGCAACATCCTTTGACAACATCAGTCTAATAAATGTCTTGGCCTTCTTATCCAAAGTCTCCCAGTTTGCCTGTGTCATCGCCTCTGGTTTTTCACCTAAAACTGCGTCCAAGTCTTTCTGCACGAGCAAATCTTCAATTTGCATCTTCCACCAACCAAAATCTTTCCCATCAAACTTCTCAATCTGAAGCTTACTGCTTTCTGCCATTTTCTGAAAGAACAATGACCTATCTTGCAATTTTCTGGAAATTCAGGGGCCAAATTGCAAATTTTCAAATCTGCTACAGTGTTGCTACAGTGCCTGCTACAGTGTCTGCTGACGTCGTGCTACGGTGTCGTCTTCTCCGGCGGACTGCTACAGTGTCTAGTGCTACAGTGTCGTCTTCTCCGGCGAACTGCTATAGTGAATCCGTCAGCTACAGTAACTTTGACCGGTGATTGTAGGAGCCTTCCGGTGGTCGAAAAAATTCAGAAAAAAATATTTTCGGAATCTTCGGAACGAGACCTTTCCAACGGTATACACCAAAATCGTTTTTGACGAAAAAAAATTTCGACCAAAAAACAGAAAATCACCCTCTGGAGCTAAACCAAGGCTCTGATACCACTTGTTAGGATCGAGACACTTAACACACGACTCTAAACACACACACAGCTCACGAAAAACAAGAACACAAGGATGAACACGAGGGATTTAACGTGGTTCGGTCCTTCTCTGACCTACGTCCACCGGTAACTAGGAATTTATATTTCTTGGTGCTAATCTGCACTCTTTCTGTGTTACTCTAGATACAAGTTTTACAAATACAGATGAATCTCATATATAGAGATGGAAATCAGAAGTAGTCAAAAAACACAACCGGGTCTTCAGCCAACCTTTGAAAAAACTTTACATTCAACAATTGTGGCTTCGTGGCTTCACATTCAACAAAAAGTTGATGTTTATGTATTAGTGTAAGGTTTGGCGAATCATTTCTTTCGGCCTTTTTGTCATATAAATGTCACATCAATTTTTTTTCTCTCATTTTCATTTTTTTCAAACCCACTATCCAAAGAACCTATTTTTCTATCCCTCTCACTTTTAATTAAAAAAACATTAAAACATTTAATAAATTATAAATTAAATAAAACTAGAATTAAAAAAAAACATTTCATTAAAAAACTCAACTACAAAGAATAATTAAAATCTTAAATATGAGAATTAAAATTTTAAATACAATAATTAGAACAATAAAAAAAATCCTAAAACGATAATGAAAAACTAGAAAGATTTCTAAAACTATCATCCACAAATTCATGCTATTTGTTGCTTGCGAGCAAGTTCAGCTGCCCTCCAGTCAAATGGTCATATAGTTAAGAAAAATGCAAATCTTTATCAAACTGTTTTTCATTCATCACAGAAATGCATGGTATTGGGAATGTAAACTGGATTTGGATCTTGTTGGTAAGGACTATAACTTGGGGGTAGTCTTGAGAGAGTGGAAATTGGTTATAGGTTTGTTGGGATGGAAATTGTTGTTGAGTATTATCTGCAATTTGGGTTTTGGGATTTTTTTTGGAAACGGCGAACAAATTATACGGAAGCCTACTCGCAATATTTCAGCGAGCACCTCGGGTTCGAGCTTCTTTACAAGGCAAACTCAGCGTCCATAGGGATTTCAGAGAAAAATTCCCCACATGTCGTACCACAAGAGGTAGTTTAAGAGAATCGAACTTCAAACTTCACGCCCCACATGGTATAAAACGCGTTGCATCAACCCAGCTAGGCTAGATATTACTTGCGGGTTTCGGGAAGTGACATTGACATTTGAGTTTTTGGTTTCTATTCAACAGTTTCTTCTTGGAATCCATTTCGGTTGAATTTGAGAAAGCGGAAATTGATGGAAGAGAGTAGAAAGGAAATAATCTTTTTTTTTTTTTGAATTATGGCCGTTGTGCAATGACTTCAACATTCTGATAAGCCTACACAGTCTCACCATTCAACCCACTTAGTGTGTGGGGCCGGCACATATTTTCCGGCCAAAAAATCCCCACTTCATTTAGCCTAATGTAATAATACTATATAACAGTGCGTGCGTGTTAACCTCTTTTTTTATAAAGCTTGGCACAACTTATTTTTTTAACTCTCCCCTAGAATAAAAGGTTATTGCATATTGAATTTCTGTTCATTTTATCCCCTTCTCTCAACAATATTTTAAGAGAAATTAAATATTCTCCTACCTTTTGTTCCTAAATATCATCCTACTCAATTAAATGGTGATATGTGTAACATTTAATGTTTATTTAATGAAATTTAAAGATATTTTAGGATAGTAATATGACACATGTCATTATTTAAATGGGTAGGAAGATTTATAGGAATAAAAAGTAGGATGATATTTAATTTCTCATATTTTAATGTCATCCCATTACCCTAATTAAGTTTTAAGTCTTTAATAATCTTAGTTTATTTGATTTATTTCATTAAATATACAAAATAAAAATGCATATTTTTATAAAGAAAAACATAGTTAAAAAGGATAGATAAAAATCATTGAGGATAAATATACAAAATAAAAATGAATATTTTCCAGATATATTGTATTGTTTTTATACAGTTCAAAGTTAACACAAGTAATATCCTTCTTAAAAGCGACAGATTGGATGAGGAAGGCTTCATAACACATTTTTTCCAAAAGATAAGAATAATTATTTAATCGTTAAAGAAGAAAGTAAAAAGTCCTAATAAAATAATAAATAACTTAAAAAATAATTTTCTGCCTGTAATCACAAGAAAAAAGAAACATTCCCAATATCACTTACAGTATGTGAAATGACAGTTTTACCCTGACTTGGTTTGGAATATTTAAAGAGATATCGGGGGTGGGGGTTTAAGAGTGACGATAGCTTTCTTAATTCTGTCAACAGCGGTTTGAAGGGTGGAGAGGGATGTTGCATAAGAGATCCGGATGCAATTGTCATCCCCAAATGCATCTCCCGGGACAAGGACAACCTGGATTCAAATTCAATGAATGAATGTATGTATGTTGCTATTTCTTGAATTATTTTAAGCCTAAAATTAAAATATTACCTGACATTTTTGCAGCAAATACCGACATAGTGACTCTGAATCATTAATCAAACCAAAACCATCAACCTCCATGCCATAGTAATTGCTGAAATCAAGAAAGATGTAGAAAGCACCCTGCAAACCAACTATTGTCATTTTGTTGTTTAAGTCTGTAATTGTTTAGTAAGCCTATGTGGTGTAAAGTTCCCGAAAATAAATGAAATCAATCTTTAAGAAAGATTTATTAAAACTAAAAGTAAACTAAAAAAAGTTCATTTACCACACGGACAGTAAGTTTACCTGAGGTTCAGATATTTTGACACCATTTAATTCCCTGAAAGCTTTGACCAAAAAATCTCTTCGTTCACGAAATGCTTTGACCATATGTGAAACAGCTTCTCCACCGGCGTATCCCATTCCTAAAGCAGCCACAGCCGCCTTTTGAGATATGCTACTAGCACCTGAAGTTGACTGAGTCAACAAAGAAGAGGGACTAAATTGACTCGTTATTCAACAAAAGATTATATGAAAGGGCAAAATAGTCATTTATCGGGCAGTATATGCTATTCCATTAAGGCTAGAGGTCAAAGTTAAACAACACATAATGAAAACAAACAATGGGTAGTATATTTAGCATCACTTGTAGAAAAAAGGTTAACAATCATTTACTCATATTTCAGTCCATAAAAGAAAATTCATAGTCCATATAATAACACTTCTAGACAGAAGGGTAAAATGGTCATTTACCCTCCTCCTCATTCAGACGGTTAACATTCTTTGTTCATACTTCCCTCATGCAAGTATCCTTTTACAATACATAAATGACCATTTACTCTCATTCAGTCCAAAAAGAAACAATTTTTATTTGGACTACACTTCTAGACATAACTACATAAGGGTAAAATGGTCATTTACTCACATTCAGTAAAAAAGAGCCTTTGTTCATACAACACTTCCTCCAAACATAAGGGTAAAATGGTTTTTTGCTATCATTTAGTTCAAAAAAGAACCGGTCTTTGTTCACACAACACTTCCTCCAAACATATGGGTAAAATCATCATTTGCTCTCATTTGTTCCAAAAAAGAACTTCATGAAAACAATATTGATCATGATCATGTTTCCGATAGAGAAGTGGAAAATTTCACATGTGAAACACACACACACACCCACAATAAGAAAATTAATTAGAATGAGACTATGTATGTACCTGACTTTGAATTTTTCCAGTGGCAGCAACAAAGTGTTTAGGACCAGCAATATATCCAAGTCTCCATCCAGTCATTGCAAAAGCCTACAACAAATAAATATATATACACTACTCTTATAGTATATCATTAGACATTAATTAATAAAGAATTTCCAACGAATGACTAAAGAAAAATACAGCTTTTCAGTGCATTAATTTATATAGAAAAGGGAATTGTGAATGCAAGTATATACCTTAGAGAACCCATTGACTGTTAGTGTCCGTTCCCACATGCCAGGCAATGATGCAAAACTCGTGTGGGTTGCTGGTGAAAATATTATGTGCTCATAAGTTTCATCAGAAACCACCTGAACATGAACAAAACCAACATCAATCAGATCATGTTTACATTACTTAAACAATTAAATCTGTCAAAGGAATTGGATTTTTGAAAGAATAGTAATCTTGTCACGTGTTAATGCAAATAAATTTCAAATTTTTATGTATACTTGTAGATTTTTGTTTATTGTAAGTGTATATAAATTGAACTTTTAATTTAAGGGTAATCACAAAAATGATCAAAATGGCACGGTCTATTTAAAAAATTGACCACCTTACAAAATGGTCAAATCATATGGGTCCTATTGCAAATTGTGAAAAATGAAAATGCTTTTTAAATGGTCCCCACTAGAATATATGAATTGTTTTCCTAATTTCTTAAAAGTTCTTTTTTTTTTTTTTTTTTTTTTGTGATGAAGAGCGAAAGCAATTTCGAAAGTGGCATCGGTCCCTTTGCGAAATAAATGGTTATTATTGAAAGGGTAAGTCATTTTTTTAAATGGAAAATACCATCTTGGTCATTGTTGTGACTTTCCTAAGGGTATTTCGGTCTTTTAATAGTTAAAAGATAAAGAAGAAGAATTGAATTGAATTCCTTCCATCCTCTTCTAGAAACGGTGAAAAGTGAAAACCAAATGAAACATGAAAGTTGAAGGATGCCAACGGAATTTGATTCAATCCACCAAAAGAAACACGAGAGGGAATCTTGAATTCCAATTCCATCAGATTCCAAGAACTACACACGCCAAAGCCAAGACAGTGATTACCAAAAGTCTTGGATGTTTTGCAACAACTCGAGCAATTTCTTCTAGAAGCTTCCTAGGATAAACCGCCCCTGTTGGGTTACATGGAGAACAAAGAATTAGCAGTCTTGACTTCGGAGTAAGCTTAGATTCTAGAAGCTTCGGATCTAACAGAAAATTTTCAGAGATGCTTGCAGGAATAATCACAGGTGTTGCATCAGCCAACCTTGCCAATTCAGGGTAACTTACCCAAAATGGAGCTGGAATTATAACCTGAAAATCAAGAAACATTGTTACACAATCCCACAAATCTATTTATAGAAATCATAATTCATAAATTTATACTCAGACCTCGTCTCCTGGGGAACAAACAGCAAGAACTGCTTGTAGCGTACTCTGTTTTGCCCCATTACTAACCACAATTTCATCAGGTGTGTAAGAAATATGATTCTCCTCTACAACAAGAAATAAAAGAAAAATATTTAAGGAATCATTAACATTTATATCTGAAAACTCAAAAGGATTCAAATTTCATTTGATCTTACCCTTCAATTTCTTGCATATTGCTGTTCGTAGTTCAAGGGTACCTGCATTAGATGTATACCTTGTGTAACCTTCACGAATTGCATTTATTCCAGCCTATTTACAAAGAAAAGTAAATACAGATTTTAACAACTATAGCAATGAAAAAGAGTGGATTGAATTGACGAAATAATCGACAGATTTATATCATGAAATCGGCAGCTACCTCAGCGATAACAGCGGGGGTGTCAAAATCGGATTCTCCGGTAGCTAAGCGAATGACAGGAACACCGGCTTCTAGAAGTGCAGCTGTTTCGTCAATTAGGGCCACTGTTTTTGAAGGATTTACGGAATTGACCCTAGGGCCCAGACTGGTATCAAGCTTCATTTGGTCAGAGTAGCATTCTATTACTAATTTGGAGTAGTTTTGTTTTTGTCGTCTTCTTCTAGTCTCCAAAGATCTATTACAGAATACAAATAGAACCGGAATGAACACATTGTGGTGTAATCGTAAGAAGAATAAACAGGTTGCAGTAATATGATACTAAATCTAACATCATATGGGAATTTTAGACGCGATTTTGGTGAATCATGGTATCAAATTGATAAATGATGCCCTTAAGCTTCCTATTTCAAGCAAAGATCTCATCTCTTTCAGGAAGGTGGGATTTCGACTATGATTTTGGAGCCATAAATTCCAAATCAGAAGCATAAATTCAAAGTTTAGACTGATTCAGTTTACTGGTGAACTGATTTTGTTACTTACAACCGAAAATCTGTATCCGATGATTAAACTTGCTGTAATCACAAAACAAATATCAATTGAAGCAAAAATACAACAGTATCAAGTGAGTAGTAATAGGAAGAAACATACTTGGTTGACAGATTGGCGTTGAGGTGAGAAGAGAAGGAAATTGTTGTATATTTGGTGATCCTCTGGGAATCGAAACCGGGGACGGGAGAGACATCATTAACGGATTTAGTGGTGCATGTTGAAAAAATGGGAGAGATTCGAGCAGCCATGTATATTTGAATTTAGGTGGTTTGATTTTTGAATCAGAACATGAAGCATCAAGCATGCACAAATTTTGAAGAACATGAAAAAACATTATTAATTATTTATAAGTAATCTGCCATTGCCATTGTATTCCACGTCAATTTATTATTTAATTTGATTGATTATTTTATCATCTAAAGTTTGGATAGGTTTATGGATAATATTTTTATAAATCTATCTATCCTTACTAATAAAACAATAGTTTCTGATTCATCTTCATAGTTTGTCATGTCAGCAAATGCCACTTGTTATTATAAGAGAGTTTTCAAACAATTTTGGGTTTCTTTTAAAATCAATAACAATAATTTCGGTATTCACTAAATGTAATTAATACAGATTATTATGAGAAAATCCACCTAAATCGGTATTCATTCAAAAAATTATCATATCGTTTCCAATAAAAAGAATTCAAATATTGATTCCATTACCAATTTTACAGCTTTCAACTTTTATTATCCCTTAATTTTTGGCAAATCAGAATCTTTTTAAAAATTAGAAGACTACAATATACCAAATTCAAATTCAAAGTATCCAATTATTCCATCAAATCAGGAAAAAGAAATCATATTGTTAAATAAGCTATAATACCCATCTCAAGAAATTGGAAACGATACGTATTTGGTTCCCTTCTTTTTTCAACGTATCAGACTCCAAAACTAAATTCTCTTTCTGCATCTGTTAGCTATAAGCTTCCATTCGGTTTTTGCATAGTCTTCAAGGTTCATTCTCCATCGGTACTTATTTTTCAGTTTTAGACATCCATAATAGCATTATACTTTTAACTGAAAGTTGTAATTTTGTGTTTTATGGTTTAGTTTTTGAGGTTTAAACATCCATGAAAGTTTGTTGCATTGTATTTTTAAAAGAAGGTGTTGTTAAGGGTTTTCCATGAGTAGGGGCATATTTCATTTAAACATTTTTGTATGTTTCGAATAATTTAAATAATTGCTCCCTGTTTTAAATATTTACATGAATTGTTTGTTGATTTGTGTGCATTTGAATCAGTATATAATTTGTTTTATATCATTATGTATCTGTCTGTTTTTGTAATCGACTGTTGGTATATATGAACATAAAAATTTCCTGTTATTGTACTCAGAAGGGCATAAAAGTGAGTCTTTTTTTTTCTACTTGATATAGGTAAATGGCATTCAACTTTTGATTAATTTTGTACTTTTTTAGTTGTAAACATCCATAATAGCATTCTACTTTTAATACGTTTTACTTAACTCCTTTTCTACACTATTTACTTTCAGCATCATGTCTACTGCAACCATCACCTACTTTAATGATATTGGTGTGGTGTCAGCTGATACCATATTTAAAGTTCGAATAGTTAGCATGTGGAATTTCATACCAAAGTTTAAAACACAAATCTTATCCATTGAAATGATCATTATGGATGAACAGGTTACTTTAAATAATTATATTTAGCTTTATTTATATTTATTTTATATCGTTTACCAACCTTCTAACTTTCTCTATAGGGTACAAAAATTCAATGTCGTGTTTTCACCAATCAATTCCATATGTTCCAGCATCTTCTGAATGTTGGAGACACTTTGATGATAAAGAATCCAAACATGGCTATGATGGGAGATGGTTTTAATATTACTTGACAAGAGCAGTAGTTTGTTTTGCAATGGGATACCATTGTTAAGAGATGTACTGATTTTGGAGGTCCGGTTCATAGTTTTGGTTTTGTTGATTTTGAATCAATTTTACAACAAAACTGTCCCAATAAGTCATGTTCTGGTTAGTTTTTTTACTTATTTTTTTAGATTATTTTCATTATCTCTATAAGTCACGTTATTCTTTTTATCATTCTTAGATGTAATCGGACATATCGTTTCACGTCGTGATATTGATGCATCTAACTCGAATCAGTCAAAACACAACATCAAGTTCACTTTAAGTGACTTAGAGTGAGTTCTTTAACCTTTACTTAATTTCTTATTGGGTATATATGTATATGTTGTTTATTATGTTAGAAATTGAATTTTATTATTACAGGGGTACAGAACTTAGGATTACTCTGTTCGGATTTCAAGCCCATCAACTAAGTGATTTGTTGACAAAAAACACGGATGTTTCATGTGTCATCATAAGCGTCCAATTTGTTGTCCTCAATGTTTGGAATGGTATGTGATAAAATTCAAATATTATTGATGTTAATAAAAGTAAGTATTTTTATTTTTTATTTTCTTTTCAGATCGTGTTGGAGTTCAATCTTATTACTAGGGATGTGTATGGGGCGGTTTGGTTCGATTATTGGTCAAAACCGAACCATAACCATTATGATTGGTTAATGCATTTTGGTAGCCATTGGGTATGGTTATGGTTAATGGTTTTTATCGGTTAACGGTTTTGGTTAATGGTTATTATTGGTTAGCCATAATGTTCAAAATAATATAAATGGCGAAAGTATAGTGACATAAAAAATGAAAAGAGAATACAAAAGAGTCCTTGGCACCAATGTTTGTAAACTAGCTTATAGTAATAGAATAAAATGTGTACATTTGATACTCGGAGTGAGATAACACATAGTCACATTCAAAATCAAAAAAATTCAATAAAAATATAAAACATTAAAAAAAATTGACATTAATAATTTCATATATTGATAATTGATATTTACATTAAAATAAAGCCAAACACTCATACACGTTCAATGCGATTAAATCAAAAATTATAAAATAAAATAGCCAAACATTCATATTATGTGTTATCTGGATAAAAAAAAGTCAATCACTCATATACATTGAATGTGATTAAGTCATAAACAGTAAATAAAAAAAAGACAAAAAAAAAATATATCACAAAAAAAAATACATTCTTAATATATTACACAGTCAAGAAGAACCAAAAACTTAACTTACCTAGAAGTTGTGATTATAAAGTAAAAAAATTCTTCGAAAAGAACTATAAAGTCAAAACAATCTTTGATTAGGATTAACGGTGTGAGAAGCCTCCGATTAGGATTATGAGAGTAAAGATTAAACAAATGGTGAATATGTGAATAATGTTTACAATTTTAGAATTAACCGAATAGGAATTACAACATTAATCAATAATCTAACTCAATGTATGATTGGAAGATTGTGTGTCTGCGTGATCTATGTGATCAGCCTTTGATGGTTTGATTGTTCGTTCGTCTCCTGATAAGTAATGATTAATGAATTATATTTTGAAATTTTAATGGGTCATAAATAAGTTTGACTATATTGTTTTATATATAATCTATAATTATATTAAAATATAAAGTTAGCGGTTCGGTTAATAATGGTTCGATTAACCTATAAAACCATAACCGAACCGTTAGTTATTGGTTAACAAAAATTAGAAACCGAACCAACGGTTTTTAAAATGGTTCGGTTATTATGGTTCGGTTATATCGGTTAATTTGGTTTTGGTTCGGTTTTCCGGTTATTATGCTCACCCATACTTATTACGACTCTACTAATTTGTTTATTAATGTTGATATTGAGGAGATTAATGAGTACCGGAAAAAGTTAGTTTTATTATTAAGATTTATTAAGTTTTATGATATACATAACTCTTAATGTCCATATTTATATTTTAATCATTTAATTATATAATACAGGTTTGTAGGTGTTGCCAAAAGTTTGAGATCTGGCAGTAGTATTATTGTACTGTCAAGTGAGACTTTTCCATCAAATGATTGGTTTCAAAGTGATGTTGAAATCAAAAATGTTTGTGATGTCATCCAACCATTGAATGTATATTATAATCTTTCACTTTAATTGTTTTCTTTTTTTAAATTTTACATTTTACATATTGTTTTTTTTATTAATCTACTTTATTTTATTGTTACTGACATGTAAATTTATTTTGATTGGAACAATCAAGGGAATCCGACAAGACCATGATTGGTATTATAATGCTTGCATTAAATGTGGGAAGAAGTGCACGAAAGATTATAATATACATCATGCATCTGATCCTATAAACACATCGATGATTTGTCAACATTAAAGTGTAAAAATGATGAATGCAACAAGTCAAATGTGCAGACAAAAGAGAATTAGTTCAAAGTTCATTGACTTTAAAATTGATATCTTTAAAATAGATCATATTATAATATGTTGATAATAACTTCTTTTACATACAGGTATCTTATCCCTATCAATGTTCAAGATGGTATAGGAATGATTTCCATATTGCTTTTTGATAGAGATGTAAAGAAAATGTTGGATTTAAGTGCGATTGATTTAGTCAATATAGTGAAGAAGGTATAATCTCTTTGTTATATGACTTTTTCTTAATTATGTATTTAATACTTTTTTGGCTCAACAGAGAGGTGATAGTTTGGCTATGTTCCCACCTAAAGTTTTGAAACAACGAAAAACAGCTTTCTTAGTTGAAGTTACACCTTATAATGTAGCAAACCCGACCAACTTATACTCTATTAACAAAATTACCGAAGATGCTGGAATAATTTCTGAATTGGAGAGCAAAGTTGAAACTTTGGTATATACCTTAATCCAATATTATTTAATAGAATTCATATTGCTAACTAACTAACCTTACGTTGACATTTTATTATGAAGGGTGGTGGATCACAATCATATAATCAACAAAACGATGTCTCATATTCGGATGATATAAAAGTTGTAAAGGTATATATTATATTATATTATTTAAATACTCAGACATTATATTATTTATTCAAATATATTAACAAAGGTCCTGATAGAGCTACTGTTGTCGTTGTACAAAACAACAATGAGTGTGATAATGATGATGATGCAGTGAATGAGATAAAAGAATATTATGATTGTTGATATTTATCTGCATGTGAAGCATCTTGGCGAATTTATGGATATGATGTTCATTACAGGTATCCTTCGGTAATGAGACTTCCTTTTCATCTTCCTGATCAACAACAACTTGTATACATTGAAGATGATGACATCGACGATGTTCTTAAGAAAACTTCAGTTGCTTCTTCTATGTTCACATCTTGGATGGAGTGCAATAAAGTTTACAAACAAGCAAGAGAT